TTTTTGTATTCTTCAGGACGAAGCTAATAAAATAAAATAAAGTAATAAAATAGAGCATTTTACCTTTTGAATCAGCAAATTATGCCCAGTAGATCCGAAGATGTAAGGATTCAGTTCTTGCTAGGATACTACAATAGGTGATAGACATCCAATATAATTTCACAGTGGTGTCTCCGGCACGTCATTGAAAACGAGACTTTTTCTTGGAGAAATACCTAAATAAGTTTGATTTGCACATGGTGGAAACTTTGAATCCAAATTTTAACTATTCGAAGAGAGATCATTTTATCATTTCAATTGGCGATTAAAGGCCAAGAGAGCCGCTAAAGTTGCGAAGCGAGCAAGGCCAGAACGCATTCAGCAGGATGAACCTAAATGAAAAGTTTTGCTGTGAAATAAAAAAAACAATTTATGATTAACAGGCGAGATTGAAAGACGCATAGTTTAATGATTATTGGAGCTTAGAGGACGGACCAGTAGAGGAACAGTAAGGTTCTTGAGCTATTCTCTCATTTTATCATTGCTATTATTATTATTATTATTATTATTATTAGAGGACGGACCAGTAGAGGAACAGTAAGGTTCTTGAGCTATTTTCTCAGTTTATCATTGCTATTATTATTATTATTATTATTAGAGGACGGACCAGAAGAGGAACAGTAAGGTTCCTGAGCTATTCTCTCAGTTTATCATTGCTATTATTATTATTATTATTATTATTATTATTAGAGGACGGACCAGTAGAGGAACAGTAAGGTTCTTGAGGTATTCTCTCAGTTTATCATTGCTATTATTATTGTTCATCCTAGTTATTATTATCGTAGTTATTACTGTTGTTAATATGATTATTTGCAACCATCTAATTATTAGTTGAGTATCAGTTAGTCACTATATTCTTTAATCATCTTTTTCTTGTGGAACAGGGAGTACTCATAAATGTATGCCGGGGATGCAGTAGCAGTAATCATATGTGCAGTCTGAACTGCCTATTTTTTTATGGTCACGAGTATAGCTTGCATTCAATAGGAATTCTTAAACAGCATTTTTATCTGGACTTTGTTTACTACGAAATCATCAGCTTGAGTGATTAGCCTTGGGTCATTGAAGCTGAACGTCGTGTATATGTAATCGTATTTATATGTATGCAGTGATTGAATGTGTAACATAGGTAAATACAAGGGGATCTTGGTTGTGTCATGATAAAATTTACCCGATCCTTCCATAAAGGTCTGCAATGTTCTTATGATCCCCTCATGAAGGACTCAATGAGGTTAATCGTCAACTGTCAAATGGCCAAAATACTAACCGTCAACCGTCAAAAACGCAATATTTTTACCGTCGACCGTCAAATAAGCAAGCTAATGTCAGCCGTCAAATGTCTCAGATATCCTTAATTAAGAACTAAACGATTGCCTTAATTTAGGTCAAGTTCTGTTCTCTATAAATAAAAGTTTTGATATATCCCAAAAATACATTTATGTAAGTCTTTTAACTTCTAGTCACAAGTAAAGCTGGTTAGCGACAGAACTGACTTCCGGTGTGGAAAAACTTCCGGTAAAACGTTAGTAATTTATTAATAGAGGTGTTATAAATCAACAGTTCTTTACAAACGTGTCATTATGAAAAGTTGCAGCAGAATTCGAGCGTTCAGTTCGTTTTGTAAACGATATTCCGAAAAATTAACGGTCACCTGTCAAATGACCTAAAATTAAATTAACCGTCAAAAGGGCTCATTTTTAGCCGTCAACGTGGCAACCCCCCCCTCCATTTAGACCCTCCCTCATTGGTAGTCAATTTTCTATATCCCCCACTCATATCCTGTTGTCAAAACTGATCCCCCCTCCCTTCCTCCCTGAAAACCTGTGATCCCTCCGAGAAACCCCCCCTCCCCTTAGCGATAAATAACGACATGCAGATGTATGGGGTCAATGAAAAATACGTAAACGGTTCTTTTAATTCTTGCTTTCTATGAAAAAAAAAAAAAATTGATAAATAAATAAATTCTCAAGGACATGATCAGAAATGACTTACAGGCTATTCACCAGTCAACTAAAAACCATAGTTTGATAAATAACGAGTACCAATATGAATAATTTCAAAACTCAAGGAATGTTTTTCTTTATGAAATGCATGCAAATTGAATTCTGTTAAAATAATATTTTTAGCTAGCATTTCAGTTGTCCCCAGCCAGTAATCCGCAATTATCACTTGTTAAGATTTCATCACCACTCAGCTTCTCCTTAAACGAATCCTTTCTCTTTCTACTGACAATTAGAAAACATTTTCTCATGTCATTAGACGTTTGAAAGAGATGTTAACTTTTAATTCAAAAAATTTTGAGTTAAAATTTCCATCTCAATTTTTCTTCCGAAAAATCGGAAACACAATGAAGGATTTTCTTTCACGGATCGATTAGTCAACAGATGTTTTCATCTTTATAGGAGGTTTATCAACTCTTCCCGAAAATTCTTTTTTTTTTTGTATTGAATTACCAGACACAGATGGACACTTTTTGTGGCACAAGTTTGATTGTCGAAGGCGAGGAACCGTAGGTGGCAACTGCGAACTCTAAAGAAAGATGTTCAGTCGTAGTTATATAATATTCTCCACAGGCAGCTCGTTCACCCGTTTTAAAACGATCGAGTACTGGGATGTATTGAGAAATTCTTCACGTCAATCGATGGTATCAAGTGAGTGAGATTTGAAGGCCACGCTCAACCAGGATGCATTGCGAGAATAGAGGCCTTTCTCAGTATTTTCTGTATTACAGAAAGATGAAAGTTGTGTGTCTTAGTTCAACTACGTATTATTATGCATCTGTCGTAGTTCCATTTTAATCCTAGTCGGACAGGGTAAGGAAAAAAAAAACCCAGGATGTTTTTCAAAAACAAGAAATTAATTTGCTTGAAATAAAATGGCATTTAGGTTTGCACATTTATTTGCATTATATACATTCGGAGATGGAACGGTATTTAATTTTATCTAAGCGGTATTTCTAATAATTTTGCTGAAGTTTTATTGATGTGAGTTGGAGATCGTAATTGTTATGCGGGAACAAATTTCCCTCCGGCATTCATTTTGTGACATTCTGTTCAAGTAAAGGATCATAAACCTTAAAAAAAAGAAATATAAATATAGAGGCAAGACCGATACAACGTAGATAAGTAAATTTTAAGACGGAGCACTACATTTCGGCTGGCCAAACCAGCCTTCTTCAGGTGCAGTGGGAATTAACAGAGAATTGGGGTGATGCTTCATAGATAGCTGTATGATGTAACAGTGGAAATACGCCACCCCTCTGAATGGATATCCCAGTTTGTTGACCACTACCTCCAACCACTCGTTCACAAACTACCATCTTATATCAAAGACACCAATGACTTCCTCAACAAACTGTTTTACATTGGTAATTTGCCCCCTAATTCTTTACTAGTTACGCTTGATGTTTCATCCCTCTACACCAATATCCCACATAACGAAAGGTATTAATGCTTGTGACCATTTTCTGTGTACCTCCTCCAATACCCCTATTCCTACAGTCACACTTTGTGACCTCATTCGTACGGTTCTTACAATGAACAATTTTACTTTTAATGATGCTCATTACCACCAAGTTCACGGCACAGCCATGGGTACCAAAATGGCCCCTTCTTTCGCTAAACTTTTTCTGGGTCTTTTCGAAGCTAACGCTTTGAAAAATGCCCCATGTAAACGCCACACTTGGTTTAGATACATCGATGATATCTTAATAATAATAATAATAATAATATAATAATTTACATTTCTAAAGCGCTAAAATTATAAAATATTCTAAAGCGCTTTACAACATTATTAACTACAAATATTAAAATGATAAACGACAAAATATCAAAACAAATTGTAAGCCAGCTTGAATAGATGTGTCTTAAGCTTTGACTTAAAAGTCGTTACACTTGGACTGTTTCGAATTTCAAGCGGCAGTTCGTTCCACAAAAAAGGTCCAGAACGGGCAAAGGCACGATCACCAAAGGTCTTAAAGTTAGTTCTTGGGACCTTAAGGAGACCCTGATCGCAGGAACGTAGCTGATGACCCTTGACACTGTGTGGCTGCAGATATTCTTTTATGTATAGTGGGCCTTGGTTATTTAAAGCTTTATAAATTAAAAGTAACAACTTAAAATGGACGCGATAAGCCACAGGAAGCCAGTGAAGATTATATAAGGCGGACGAGATGTGGTGAAACTTGGGAATCCTAAAAATTAGTCGAGCAGCGGCGTTGAGCACCTTCTGAAGACGCTCTGTCTGGTACTTGGGTACGCCAAATAAAAGGGAGTTGCAATAGTCTAAATGCGAAGTCACAAATGCGTGAACAAGAGTCTTCGTGGACTCAGGACTGAGGAATTTCCTAATTTGGCGAATTTTATACAATCCATGAAAAGCTTTGCTGCAGATCTTACCAATGTGAATGGACATGGACATATTGGAGTCAAACCAGGAACCCAGGTTTCGAACACTGTTGAGAGGCTGAATGGTAGAATTACCGACTGTGATGGAATCAATTGCGATTTTTGATAATTGATGGCGGGAACCAACAACTAAGAATTCGGTTTTAGAATCGTTAATTAACAGGCGATTATAAATCAACCATGAGCGGACATCCGAAATGCAGGCTTCAAGAGCAGCTATGGCGTGGTCTTGCGAAGATATTACAACTGAGCTGGCCAGTGTTTTGGCATTGAAGGTAGCCGCCTTATTCACATAAGAGAGATTTAGCTTTCGTATTTTTTATCTAAATTTTCTGGTTGTTTAAATATTAATCACACCTAAGAAGTTTCCACGAAAGTGAAATACTTCGAATCAAATTAAATGATCAGAATGTTTTTGCAACAGACAGAATAGCTCGAGTTTCACTGTCCTCTTTACATTCTCGAGTAAAGCGCCATTTGACCTAAAGGAAAATGTCCTTAGAGCGTAAGTCGGAGGAGGAGTATAATTCACCCAGCGACGAAGCCCTGGAAGAAGTAAATAAACACATTAAAGAGGCTTTTAGTATTCTGAAGAAAGAGACGAACAAAGTCCGCAAGGAGAAGGAAGCTTTTGACGAGGTGGCGAAGAAGCTTGAGCACATCCACTTCTCAAAGATGCTTAAACTTAATGTCGGCGGCCACCGTTTCGACACCAGTTTGGAGACCATGAGTAAAGATCCAGGTACTTTTCAGCAGAATTTTTAACGAAATCATTTGACATTTCAATCGAAATATCGAGGTATAAAATCTAATGATAGAAAAATATGCAGTTGAATTACTTTCACTTTCGGCGGTTTGAGAGAGGAACCTTGAATACAAACTACAAGTTTTTCCGCTGAAAAAAAGGTCCTGTGTGAGGATAAAATAGTTTCTGACGCTTTTTCTTTTACTCTTATCTAGTTCAGAATCTCTTTCCTTTGCTTTTGAGTAAAAGTGTTCTTGACTGTGAAACATTTATATACGCTCGTTCTCGGAAAAGATTTCACCTTAACTTTCTTGTCAGAACTCCTCATGAAGGACCGCTATAGACATTAACGTATGTTTTTGTTCTCAGGATCGATGCTGCACGCCATGTTTTCTGGAAGATTTGACACAAAACCCGGCGAAGATGGATCTTACTTCATCGATCGAGATGGAACCCACTTCCGACATATCTTAAATTATCTTCGCACTGGAAAACTTATGCTTCCGGATGACAAAATTGTGCGCAACGAATTGCTAACCGAAGCCGAGTTTTATCAAATCGAGGGTATAATTGAAGAGATGAGGGCAAGACCATTCAAGGATTCTATGATCCTTACATCAGAACAACGCGAACAACTGATCGACTTGCTGAAGGAAACGCTCGAAAGCGCAAGCGACGACTACGTTCTGTTATACCGCGCTTCCAGGAATGGTTGGACGGCTGCCAACTTTCACTCTTCTTGTGACGGCAAGGGACCCACGGTGACAGTGATCAAGAGAGATAATTACATATTTGGAGGATATACTGAGGAACAGTGGGATCCACCTGGTAGGTCCCTCTAACTCTAACAAGTTCAAAACCAACTTTTGTTGTAGCAAAAAGAAATAAAAAATCTAGAATTGCGTGACATCTAAATTTGTGAAAAAGGATGGGGGCACACGATCCATTGCGATCCTAAGTCGTAACCATTCTCCCATGCGTAGTGCCTGTTACGCTTAAAAATTAGCTGCGAATGTTCTTCGCGAAAAAATGTACCCGGCATACACAATCTAGCCTCGTGGTTGCCAATTTTAATTGGCGAACAATATGAAAAGACCTATGATAGAGGATTAGTGTTATCAGTACAGCAGCACTCGTGATCAGGACACTTGATTCTTGTGGGAGCTATTTTTCCTCCTCCCTCCCCTCTCCCCAAATTCAATGTTGTACGTTACGACATAAAGGCCATATTGCGAGTAAAGTTACACTATTGGAAGGGGGAGGGGAAGGCAGGGGAATCAACAAAGGAGACTTGGGGACTTGCCAAAACAGACTGAGCTGCGTTACGAAAATTTTGATCTACTACATACAACGTGCCCTAACACTTTTTGATTCGCAAATTATATGGTCGATGTAGAGATCGTTTTACCAACCGAATCCTTTTTTCTGTTGTTTAGCTGGTGGAGCCAACTACAAAAAAGCTCACAAAGCGTTCCTGTTCAGCCTTGTCAACCCAAACGGTTTACCAGCTTCAAAGCTACCGCTGATGCCTGGAAAAGAGGGGAATGCAATCTACTGCCACAGTGATTATGGGCCCACATTTGGAGCTGGCCATGATCTTCGTATTGTAAATGCACCAAATGCCAAAAACTGCTCTGTCATCGTGTATAACTCGTACCAGTGCCCAACCGGTCAGAATGCTACCACATTCCTTCAAGGAAACCAAGATTTCACCATCGGTGAAATGGAAGTTTTTGGCTTTGAGAAGTAATATAGAAGCATCCATAATTCTGTAATTGGTGCAATCGATACTGTTTTTCAGGCGATCGCGTTTTTTCATGTGCTTTTCCGTTCATAAAATACTCGATTGGTTTGTCATTTTAGAATAGGGTTAAATTGTTTTCGAGAAAGGCAGAATTCTTAAAATAAACTTTTTTGAAACTTGCCACCTTGTAGTGACTGTCTCAAGATCTGTAGATTTGCATATCGGATGGAAAAGCATTTGCAAGGAAAACTGGTATCAAATGCACTGAAAGGGGATAACAGTTACCGCAAGTGTATTCCACAGGGACCTTAGCAGCAGCTTATTCCATCATGGTTGTATGAGGGAGCGGAGAGTGAGTGAGATTTTGAAACTGGCGTCTCATAGAAATTTGGAAAGGTACCGAGTTGTTTTAAATGATCTGAAGTCAATACCCTCTGGAGCTTAAAGGAATGTGTGATCCTAGTTGTGTGATCCTAAAAAGATCTTTAAAACCGTCATCTCCATCTAAGTTTCTGTTCCCCTTAAAATTTAGTGTTGCTCCAGGCTTCTTGGTTCTGTAATAGGATGACGTTATGTTGCACGTACCCAGCAGTCACCTTCTGGCATGAACAATTCGAAGATAAAGCATACGAAGTTCTCTGCGCCGAGGAAAAGAAGACTGGAAAATTGCAATTGGGAGAATGTATCCTCTATAAACCAGAATTTTAGCTCTGGGTATCAATAATTTACGTGTAAGAGCAAGCTAGGTTCCCAAAATCGCCACGCACTTGTATCAGGCTTTTAGTATTCTGAAGAAAGAGACGAACAAAGTCCGCAAGGAGAAGGAAGCTTTTGACGAGGTGGCGAAGAAGCTTGAGCACATCCACTTCTCAAAGATGCTTAAACTTCATGTCGGCGGCCACCGTTTCGAAACCAGTTTGGAGACCATGAGTAAAGATCCAGGTACCTTGAAGCAGTTCTTGAATCTTGAATTATAGCTCAACAGACTATATAACTTTCGCTTCCATTCAGTTGTTTATTCGTAAATTGTTTTCGTGTCCGCTGCTTGTCCACCTTGTCGTAATGCTTTGAAGAACGAGGCAGAAAACAAAAGGATGCATTTTGATTCAATGAGATGTAAATAAGTGGCCCTGTGTAAATGCGAGTAAAGTCTAACCGTAAAGTTTACCGTTTAGAAAATATGAGTCAAGACGAAGCGTATAAAATTAACTGTTTACTCTTACATGAGGCGCCGTGAGGTGAACTCAAAACTCAGCACTAAACTATCGAATTAAGATCGAATTCAGCTTGAATTCAGGTAAAAACTTGGTGGCCCTCGTGGTCTTTACTCGAAGGCCACTCACGCGCATGCCCGAAAGTCAAGCGCCTCCGTAGGGGAACCAGCTGGGGAACGTGAAGCCCAGCGGTAACACCTTGTATTCTGTAGTTTTACCTATTTGTTTTTGCTCAAAATTTGGTTCGACGTATTATGTCCGACATTTGAGTCAACGGTCGAATTTAACCCTTTTGGGTAGACCGAAATTACACTTACGATCACGTATTTTAGGCGATTATTTTAAACATTACAAGTCCTTCCTTCCAAATATAGATTGAAGTCATTCTACTAAAATGCTATATACAACATACTTTTGCCAGGTTAGTTTTTAACATGTTACGGCGTTGAAACATTAAAAATTTGTAAATTTGCGAAACAGAAATCCTATTTAGCAAATAACAGATTTTTATTTCGTAAACGATTACAGATTTCCAGATCGCAAATCACTAACAGATTTCCATCTCGAAAATTGTAGATTTCTATTTCGTAAATTGCAGATTTCTACTTCACAAATTACAGATTTTCATTTCGTTTCGTTTCGTTTCCTAGATTCTATGATACATGCAGTTTACAGCCGCAGGGTGACCGAAAGCGGGACAACGAACGAACAATATCTTGCATAATTAACCCGACACGCCGCATTGAGGACACGAGTACTATTATAGGTTCNGCCCAGCGGTAACACCTTGTATTCTGTAGTTTTACCTATTTGTTTTTGCTCAAAATTTGGTTCGACGTATTATGTTCGACATTTGAATCAACGGTCGAATTTAACCCTCCTGGGTAGACCGAAATTACACTTACGATCACGTAATTTAGGCGATTATTTTAAACATTACAAGTCCTTCCTTCCAAATATAGATTGAAGTCATTCTAGTAAAATGCTATCAACAACATGCTTCTGCCAGGTTAGTTTTTAACATGTTACGGCGTTGAAACATTAAAAATTTGTAAATTTGCCAAACAGAAATCCTATTTCGCTAATAACAGATTTTTATTTCGTAAACGATTACAGATTTCTAGTTCGCAAATCATTAACAGATTTCCATCTCGAAAATTGTAGATTTCTATTTCGTAAATCGCAGATTTCTATCTCACAAATTACAGATTTTCATTTCGTTTTGTTTCGTTTTGCTTCGTTTCGTTTCGTTTCCTAGATTCTATGATACATGCAGTTTACAGCCGCAGGGTGACCGAAAGCGGGACAACGAACGAACAATATCTTGCCGCATTGAGGACACGAGTACTATTATAGGTTCCTGAAACTAAAACAATATTGCCATTTCTCCCGCTCACTCGAAGCTAAGATTTAACTTGAAAGAGATACGATTAAACTTTACCTAATAGGGAAATTTGCTGCATCGACAGTAAATAAAGAAGGCGAATGCAAAGTAAGTTTATGGGCAGCTGTGCTTTCAATAGAACTCATTCGAAATGGAATGTTTATGGCTTGTCCATTGTAGGGTAGTCCATCGGGGTAGTTCATGGACTGGTCGTCAGTGTTTTTTCCATCACCAAAGTTCGACGTTTGAACGTTAACTGGGCCTAATAGTCCATTGCTCAAAACAATCCTGACAATTTTAGGGCGACCTCCGTCAGTAATTTAATGAACCTGCATTCATTTATCTTCACTAGTGTCATAACTAACAAACACTTCGAACACAGTCAGTCCGCCATTCTATAAACTTCTGGCTTCTTGAAAAATCACACCAAATGATTTCTGATATGTTGAATACAGTTTACTTTTTGAGGATCGACGCTACCCATCGACTGCGTAAACGTAGTTGATTCCTCAATAGGGTGCTTTTATTTTTCCAGGTTCCATGTTACACGCCATGTTTTCAGGCAGATTTGACACAAAACCCGGCGAGGATGGATCTTACTTCATTGATCGAGATGGAACCCACTTCCGCTACATCCTGAATTATCTTCGCACTGGAAAACTCGTGTTGCCTGACAACAAAGTCGTCCGTAAAGAATTGTTGACAGAGGCTGAATTTTATCAAGTCGAAGGGATTATTAGTGAGATGAAAGCGAAACCATTAAAGGATTCAACGATTCTTTCATCACAACAGTGCGATATACTGATCGACTGGCTGAAGAACATACGCCAAAGCC